ATCTATCAGCGCGAATCCCAGGGGAGCTATGCTGGGTTCTCATTCTAACCTAGTTGCTTAAAAATTCATTTAGCTAGTTGAAAAGAGTTGAATTTATGAATAGGGGTTGTACTTAACATGCATAGTGCTCTTATGATTTGAAAATATTGGACAACAAGAGCCTCTCTTATGCGGACAACTGTTACCAATTATGCGCTTCTTGTGCATTGAAGCTGGTGACAGTTGTCCCTTGGCGGAGCCTAGGGTCTGTGCTTTTCGCTTCTTTCCTCCCCTTTTTGAGAGTCTCATATATTTTCTAAAAAATGCATTGAAGAGCAAGACGCTTTTATTTGACAATTATTAAATTTTTCATCGCGGCCTGCCGCGTCGCACTCCTGCCTACGGCGCGGGTGCGCAAAATTGTCGCCAGAGTGCATCCTTTAATGCAGTGACGGCTAAAGTGCGAGACGTTTAAGTGGTTTATGTCGAACATTTACATGTATTCGTCAATTTTCCATGTGTGGAAGACATCAATTGAGCGTGAGTGCACCCGCGTTCAAAGCGAGTGCACGACAGCTTCCGCTTCTGGTTCTTCTCACATCCGGTGTTTTTCTTTTGGTTTTTGATCTGCGGGGACGTTAATGCTTTGGGGAAAGTAACATTCTGAAGGCAATACTTCATCAGTAATAGAAGCTACGGTAATCTAGGGTAGAAAAATTTCAGTGATTTAAGCAAAATTCTGTAATTTTCATATTTTTGAACAACCTTTAAAGAAGTTCCCTGAAACAGTGATAATCGTTTAGCAATAAACTAAAACTTTATAGTAATTGATTTGATTATTTATATTCCAACTGATAAATCTTCCATCCAATTACAGGCTAAAGTTTTTATCAAAATTTTTGTCCATAAGTATACAGATTTTGTCGTAATTTACGCGTTTTATACTTTACCCAGACCGAAAGATCATAATAGAACTGATTGCAAATATCGTCTTAGTTACGGTATTCTCATCCTCTGAATGTACTTATTTATTATTAATTTCCCTACTCTTCAATAATTTAAACTGAAAGTAGGGGGAAAGGAAGCAAAAAAGATTAAGGGCTGTCGCTACAACATAATATTTTTGTGAAAGGCTAATGCCCAATATCCTTACCCCCCCCCTCTCACACACACAAAAAAATCTCGAAGATTTCGAAGGTATTCTAATGAATTCTAAAATGATTGAAGTATTTCATTTTCACTCGTGAATAAAATGGCGTATTTGAAGATTTTTTGAGATTCAGACTACTTTTGTGAAAAAAAAATTTCTGGAGGGCGTACACAATACTTTTCATATGAACACTTTCTGTGCTCCCCCTCCCCCCCCCCCTCCCGCCCTCGAAAAAATTTCTCTCGGATCGCGCCTACCTACAAATAAAAGAGGCGAATGAAGAAGTAAGAACATGGGTTGCGCTTATTTTCACTTTCTTCATCTTTGCCGTTTCAAAGGTTCAATATATAAAAGTTCGCTGAGTTATTCTTGTTGTACATCGCCCTTCTGCTATAAGATTACCGTATATGTACAATACACCTTACCCAGAATATTGATGAAGCAACCGATTTTCACTCATTATTGAGTTTTTAGTAGAAAACAATTTGTTTCAAAACTTTTTCATTTATTCACCGAGCAGATGATCACCTAGTTGATGAAATTCCTATTTTCGTGCTTATTGCATATCTGATGCTCAATCCCCAAAAGAACAAATAATGCAGAGAAGAGAGAGTGAGGCGCATAATCTCCACGATCGCTCACTCTCTTGCAGACTTGTAAGCGCCCCATAAATCCAGAAGACATTCTTCAGCAACCCAGTAATCTCCTGATTTATTGCTACCATTACCACGCATGAGTTGTCGGACCCATAAATCGTTGTGAAAGATATGGAGCTGGTTTTTTTGGTGCATATAGAGTTGGACGCGAGTCAAGATGATTCAGATACATATGCAATGACATGCACCCACATCACAAGCTCATATTTCCTCCCCCACACCAAAAAAAAAGAAAAAGGAGATTTTATGTAATTTAGGGCAAAATCAAGTGAATTTTTGTGAGAGGATGAGTGGGCGTGGCGCGAGTGGAAGTGGAGGCTAAGCTCATGTATAACAGTTAAGGTAATTCTAAACAAGTATGAAATAAAATTGGTAGATTACTTAGCAAAATATGTAACCTTTGATTCAACTGGCTTGGCGGTGGAAGGTGTGGCTTTATGGCCTAATTAAGGCCGCTCGCGCCCGCTACGCAGTCTGCGTCTCTCTCCCGCGCATATTCTTTGATCATTATTAAGCCTATTAGGTCACAAAGCCCCGCCTTCCAGCTGCCAAGCCAATTCAAAAACTTCAAATGTATGGACAATAATTCGAATATTTTGAGTACACTGGCCTACATGTGTTGCTCCCAAAATCCTCTGAAGTCCCATAGACGTCCTTGTAATGCCACATCCTGGGTGAAATATATGTCTTATCATGTTAAACTCCTGCAAAACTGCCGCGCTGCGTATGCGTACGTAGAGATTTGCCGTCGGGTAAAATCGATAATCAGCAGGCCAACAAATTGCATTCGGAGAAAAACAAAAGTAGTATTTGCTTAGCCCAATGTTGCATATAAACAAGTGAACCAAGTGATACTAGACTTTTCGCTGAAGCAACTGTTCGATTTCTATTAGTGCAACGCGTACGCAAGGCGGCTTCTGTGTCTGCGGGTTTGATTACATACAATGGCAAGAAATTTCCTTGGGAATTCGCTGAAAGTGTTTTTTTTTTCAAAAAGCGTATTGACAAAAGTAAGAATGTGTCTTTGTGCTCGAATGCGCTAAGTAGTGGGCGGGGTAAGAACTGGTAGGGGCGGAGTTTGCCACTTTTTTACCTCTCTTTTCCTTTTAAAACGGGAATACTGAGCAAGATTCTAGTAGTGTATACGCTTAAAACCATTTATGCTTAGTCGGTCAAAGAAAGCCGCCGACAGGCCCCGCCTTTGCGGACTACTGATCCTTTCTCATATGCACATACATAGAGCTCTAGGACCAGGGCCTGTAGTAAACCCCCCGGACGTCGTGACGTATAGCTCGGAGTATGCTGTGACATGTGCTGACTATCATGGAGCGAGGCTGGCAAAGCGGCTATCCTTTATCATTGCCGGCGGATGCAATCGATGCGTAGCGTCAGGGTAGTCGCACTTTGTCGCGATATGTTGCGACATATCGCGACATATAGCGACATATTGCGACATGTCGTGACGAACAAGACGGCGAAATACTTTGTCCAACATAGAGACGCAGAGACATAGCGCAGTTGTTGAGCTGTTTCACAATAATTGCAAAAGTAGTAGCTAACCCTTCAACAATACTTACGGATAAGGCATGCATATCGTTTTCCCATACTGATTTGCTGCAACTGCTCTATTTGCTACATGTATCCTCTCCCTAGCAAAGCACGGCGTAGTAGCATACAGCGCAGCGAATGTGCGCGCTGCTAGACCATCTGTGTCTTGGCACGGAGCTGGCACGAATCTGGCACGGGCTGACACGCTCAATTTTTATTGAGGGCAACAGTCAAATATGGTCCTGCCATAGCGGATAATGGCGCTTCTTACAGCATGGTGTACAAAGATAAGCATAATTCTGCAACAGACATAGATCAACTGCGTTTTCCTATCAATATTGATGAACATGAGATAATGAGTCAAAATATGGAGAAAGAGGCGCGCACACGCGAGGATAGTTAGTTATTGGATTTCCTTTGATTGACTTACCTGCTCTGGCAAGCATAGTATACTACATTCTTGCCTTGCTAAGCAAATACCCCACGACATATCTGTACTCATAGCGCAGCGCGTGTGACCGCTGTTATCGCGGTCATCAGCGGTTCAATGACGCGCGGAGGCGATCGTTTTGCGGCGCCCTGCGGATAGCTCGCTATAGTCTTGCGAGATACTCCGAGCTATCACGACATAGTCCCTCTATGTTGTGACAACCACGAGGGGTTTACTACGGGCCCAGTAGTCCGCAGCGATGGCGTTTGAGGCGTTATCTGTTCTCCTGCCCGGTTCTACCTAAACACAGAGACTTATAAATCATTGATTACGTCTTTCATTCTTCTGCTCTTATCCTTTAGTCTGTAAATGCGTCGTCTGCACGCCCAATTTTTACCTCAGCGGTAGGTAATTCCCAAAGATGAATGACATAGCTCGTCATCCACTGGACGAGATTGCTTCCTTTTGCTTTTTTTTCAACTTGCTTTCTGTCGACAACATCGACTACCAAGTGATAATTATTGTAAATAGTACATGCAATATCCTTTTGACCATGTCATATTTGTTTGATGAATCATCTCGAGTTGTACAGTTCTCTCGCTTCAAGTTTTGTTTTGCATTTCTCTCATTTCAAGTTTTGTTTCGTAACGCTTATCAGCTCACTTATATTTACTTTCCCTTGAAGGATATTTTGAGATCTTAGTTTTATCAGATCTGTGGATGTATAAAAAGAGCCCATATCGCCGTATGAGCATGCTTGGTTCCTACGCAAGTTTTCCATCCCTTCAAGTTCGAGTGCAAGTTCGCTGGACGTCCCTCAAGTCCTACTTATTCTCAAGTTCGCTAGGAGATCATCCAGTTGAGCATATTCTCAAGTTTTGCACTCCCGACCATACGGCGTGTGAGTGAATCTGTATATACCTGTACATATTTGGAGATTGGGAATAAACGTATTTGGAGCTTCGACTTCAACTCCTACATTATAGTCCCGCGTGGCACTTCAAGTTTAACAAGGCTTACTGAAGAAACCACAAAACCCAATTTCTCCACATGGTGCATCGAGCAAACGAAGAACCCAGGTCAGTCTAACGATTTCACAGCACTGACGATTCCGGTAAACTCTGAGAAAAACTCTCTTGATACACTAGCGCACGAACCTTGGTTGCAGATTTTGAACCAACTTATATTTTTTTTGGCGGCGAGCTTCCAAAGTTTCATAAGCATAGCACCGAGCAAAATGGCGATGCGATTGGGTACGTCCAAGCGACTACTAACGCGCTACACAAAGAAGTTAGAAGCCATTATCAAGCATCTCAAAGACGAGGAGTTGGAAACGCTTACCGCTACTCCACAAGAAGGCGAAGTACTCAGGAATAACTTGCGCCAACTCAACGAAGGGATAGGAGCAATAAACGCATCAACGGCCAAGATAGAGCAGCTTCTGCGAGAATACGCCACGGATATTTCAAGCCTGGAAGACGTGAGCCCAGAAGAAAAAAGTAGCTTCGAGGAATACTCCGCAAAAGCGGAGGAGGTCCTTGCAACAGCATTCGACTATGGGGTGCTGCTGCAATCTCGAAGGCAAGCATACAGCTCCTGCGCAACACATCCAGCAAGCAGCGTGGCGTATCCTCCTGCAGAAGAAACGACGGCTCAAGCACAAGGTTACAGGCAAGGGAAAGAGCTTCCACCTTTGCCAATACCAATATTTCGAGGAAATATATGGGAATGGGACAATTTTTGGGAACTCTTCAACACCAATGTCCACTCGCAGCAGATCCCCGACCTCTACAAATTCAATTACCTGAAGAACGCACTTCGCGGCGAAGCTTACCAAGCAAACAAACAAGCAGACCAAGAGAGAAACGCTCGCATGATGAAGAAAAACGCTTGCACGAGGAAAGGAGGATTGAGAAGGGACGCACGTCTCCTCTCCCCGATCGGTATCGCACGTCGCCTCCCCCTGAGCAGTATCAAGGACCCTCGGCCAAAACCCGGAAAGTTCACAGACCAGAAAGTTGGGAGACAAGGCTCGAACACGAAATAATCGAGATGGAAAGAACTTTTCAAGAATATCCTTGTCGGAAAAGAAGAGAAATGAACCGTGGGGTGAAAGGAGTTCAATGTGCTTTCTGCGATAAAGTCAGCGAACACTTCTCAGACTCTTGCCCACATTACGTCAATGGAGACAGGAGACTGGACCTAATCCGCCAGAAAGGACTTTGTCGATTCTGTCTTGAAGACTGTCCTCCCGACAAGGAATGCGCTTATGCCGCGAGGGAGTGTTGGTACTGCAAGAGACTGAAAGGAACCATTTTCGAGGATCTCCTTCCAAGAGATGTTGGACATCATCGAGCGCTGTGCAATGTTCCGGACCTGAGACCACTGGCCAAGCAAAGAATCCTCGATGCCAAGCAAGCACTGAACAATTATCGCAGGCTACAGTGACGGCGTGGGGAGTGTCGACAACATCGACTACCAAGTGATAATTATTGTAAATAGTACATGCAATATCCTTTTGACCATGTCATATTTGTTTGATGAATCATCTCGAGTTGTACAGTTCTCTCGCTTCAAGTTTTGTTTTGCATTTCTCTCATTTCAAGTTTTGTTTCGTAACGCTTATCAGCTCACTTATATTTACTTTCCCTTGAAGGATATTTTGAGATCTTAGTTTTATCAGATCTGTGGATGTATAAAAAGAGCCCATATCGCCGTATGAGCATGCTTGGTTCCTACGCAAGTTTTCCATCCCTTCAAGTTCGAGTGCAAGTTCGCTGGACGTCCCTCAAGTCCTACTTATTCTCAAGTTCGCTAGGAGATCATCCAGTTGAGCATATTCTCAAGTTTTGCACTCCCGACCATACGGCGTGTGAGTGAATCTGTATATACCTGTACATATTTGGAGATTGGGAATAAACGTATTTGGAGCTTCGACTTCAACTCCTACATTATAGTCCCGCGTGGCACTTCAAGTTTAACAAGGCTTACTGAAGAAACCACAAAACCCAATTTCTCCACACTTTCATTGCTGTTGTGCAAATGCAGAGCCCTAGTTTTTGCGCGCTTTGCACCGAATCACATCAGCTCAATCAAGATGTCAGAATTGTTTTTCTGGCTAATCTGCCATTGAGAGCAATCCTTGCTTGACAACAGCTCACGTCAGTTTTGAGCGGCTTCTCTTGTTTTTGTGTAAAACGATTACTTCTTTCTTTTTGCAAAACTAGAGATGGCGAAAACTAGCAGAGATGAGTCATGGAAAAGAAATGTATTAGGGATGGCTTGTCGTTATTTGAGATTCAGCTTTGGATTACTGTATTTTCTCCTTAAATTACGGGAATGTGAAAACTATGCAATAAAATACAATCTGGCTGTCCCATAACTTAGCTTCTTTCAAATCCAATTCCGAATATTTATTTTTGTGAAAATGTCAATAGAAGTAGTAGTCATGAATTCTCATAGATCAAAAATAAGTCGTGGAAGATTTCGTGTGAAAACTTTTGAAAGAATTTTTTTTAGTAATTTTCTGAAGGATAAACTATTTTCCTTAATCTTCTCCTGAATACTTCATGACAAAAGACAGGTTAATTGTGAGTCACTTTTTGCTCCTTACAAGGAACCCGAAGGGTAAATTTTTACAAGTTTTTGCAGATTTTTTGTAAAAAAAAACCTCGTGGATCCCCTGCAAAAATTTCCCCTGCAATTCCCCTGCAGTTTTTCTAGAAAATTTTGCAAACAACTCGAAAATATCCTTTAATTCAGCGGGATTAGTGTGACTTTCGAAGGCTAGGGGTGATCAGAGAGCACGGACGCGAGAGAGACGCAGACTGCGTCGTGGGTGCGAGCGGTTGCCTTCCAGAGTAATCCGGTTGAATGAAAGGATACACATTCAATTTTTCTAAGCAAACGTTTCTTTCGAGCTCTCCTAACCTTCGTCTTTGAATGTGAGAAGCCTGACACCAACAGCAACCAAATACTTCTCAGAATTTTTAAGCTCAAGCTAGAAGCTTTCTCGTCATTTCTCCTGTGAGCGAGAAAAGAGAAATGGCATTGTTTCAGTTTAAGTCTTTCATTTTTGAAAACGAATTCTGAAGTTAATTGATTTTTGAGAAGACGGAAGCGGCATAAGCTACAAGACGGCTTTCAAACGCTTTGAGAGTTTCATGGAAAGTCTTCCGTTCCAAACTAAAAATTCAAAAGTGAGTCGCGAAAAGCATATACATTTTGGAACAACTGAACAAAAGAATCATAAGCCCATCTCAATGTCTCGAGTAATGCTTTCAACATTAGAAGAATCACAAAGTTTCAATCTTTTTCCTTACTTTCTTTGAGCATTGATGTACATTGTAGTGTATGACATGTGCAATTGCGTATTTATTAATGAATACGAATGTATGTGTCTTGAAGTATTGAGCTTTATAAGGCTATCCCACATCTATTACATCATCACTGTTCAGTCAACTCATTCAATTTTTAATTTTAATCAAACATTTTCCATCGAAGATTTGCAGGGATTTACAAATAGACAGTGCAAATCTTCTTTTTCTCAGGGATTTGTACCATGGAAGAAAAGGATTCTACTAACGACATGGCAAAATAACACTAGGTGCTCATTCCTTGTAATAAGGCCATTACACGAAAAATTTTCACAAATTTTTCAAGAATTGATCTGAAAAACAAGTGCTTACAAGAGTTGTAAAACTTAGATTGTATGAAAATCAGAATGGTTTTTGCCAATTTTGAAATAGTTTTGTTATTCGGTGATCTCGAGTGTTCCATGTGGCTTATCTGCATGAATTATGATTGATATGTGTCTGGAGGTCATATTTGGGACTTGCTTTGCACTTGGATTTGAGATCTGCGAACTTATATGCGAACTTATTCATTTCATAACGAATACTTAATGTTAGAGCATCTAATCAATTTCATGTTTTTAGTTTAAACTTTGCCTCTTAACATGTATTCTCTTCAACTTCTTCATGGTGAGAATGAAGCCATGTCAAAAATCATCAAAAGTATAATTTTAACAACATTGACTTTTTCGGTTAATCGATTGAGTTGTAATTCTGCTGTCTCTTTCCATCATTCTTCAATTAACTAGGCAACCAGAACCTTTGACCTAATAATTGCGGAAACTTGCGTTGTATCATTTCCATTTATCTTCAAAATTGCTTATTTTTTAGCTCTTCATTGCAGAGAGGTGCAGTTGAAGGCTTGGCACGAGTGGCACTGGAAAATTTTTGGAACGAAGTCCCCTTTGATCTTGAAAATTTCGGGCGACCTCCTCTTTGACCCTAAATCCTAAACGTAATAAACTTTTGAAAAAAGAAACATCGACTAAAAAAGTAGCAATTTTTATGTCTTTTCGGCACAAAAATGATATCTTCTTCGATTTTTGTCCCAAAAACGATATCCAGCACTCTGCCAGCATTGAGCCCTGGTGCAGTCTTTTGGTAAATTCTTAGAAATATTTTGTGGAAAACTGAATTTTTTTTTTCAATTTTCATCGCCTACAACTGAAGATCCTTTCGAATTTGATTTAGAGGATAACACCTCTTCGATAAGCCCACCCGCGCGTGCAGTTGGCATGGGTCATAATGTAGAAGGACGCGAACTTGTTGCAGATGTCCGCGCATTACTTTTCCTTTCATTAGCGTAGTGGTTCCAGCTCATTTTTTGCAAAACCTATAAGCTATCTTCTGCAGCAAATTATTCACAGTTTTTCTCAACAGTTTTGTGCCTCATGCGGAATAATCACATGCTAGCAACTCTATAAGATGTAAAATTTTATTTTTTGAAAAAAAAAACTTGTAAGTTACCCAAAACTCAAAACAAAATAATTTCCATTGAGAAGACCATGATTTCAAAGTATGTGGAAAACCCTCCTTTCCACATTATTTTATACTAATCACCGTTTTTATTTGTTTTTCGTCGGAGTAATGACAGTAAAAATTTGAAGAAAAAATTTTGGAAATACATGCAGTAAATCCCGCTTCAATTTTGGTTCATAAACTCAAGCGAGAAGGACGGATGGTTGTTGTTTTGGACTTACCAGAGATGAATCCTCCATTCTCAATCATGCTGTGATCGAACATTTTTATTTATCAAAATTTACAAAATATCAGTAATGTCATTTTCCTTCCCTGTTTATTTTCTTCAATCTCTGTTTGCTTCTATTCAGTCCTTACAGGTTGAAATTCTAGAACAACGTTCTCAATATGTACTGTGTAACACGCACCAAATATGTTCATTCTAACAAGTTCATCTTGTCTTTCATCTGCATGTTCTGGACTATGAACTCATTAGAGAAACATGCTATCAGCAAAATGATTAGCTTTTCCTTTGTACCCTATCCATGAGTTTTGTGTTCGTTATAAAAAAATTTAAAAATCGTAAATTTATGACACCTACCGGTGGTGGTTTTTGAACTAACAATAAGCAATGTATTGGAATACCAGAAACAAAGCCAAAAATTTTCAGGTATCTCTCAAAATTATCGTAGTAGATCGACAATAAATTTTACAAAGCATTGGCGGTCCTGAAAAATTTTTTGAGAGGGTTGGAGGGAAGTAATGAATGAATGTTTGACGAAAGGCGTGCTTTAGCAAATCTTCCGGAAAATTTTCTTGAGACTGGCTTCTTTAGAGACCGCTAGAATTTCCTTTAGAAAGCTGAACCAAATTTCAGCGAGTCGCAAATGAAAGCTAGGAAGTTTTATACGTGACCATTTGCAAATATTTCAGTATCCTCTTTTTTCCCCCCACCCATCGACTCTGTTTTTCATCCTTCAGAACGTTTTTTGATCCTTATGAATTCAAAAAATTATTTCGTATCAATTTACGAATAAGAACAAGTTGACTTTACAGAGTGATTCCCTATCACCCCTCACGCTATTGCCAGGAGGGGGGGGGGCGAAATGATGCTGGATCTTTAGAAGTAAATTTGTACTATAAATTGCTGAAAAATCCGTTTTTCTGTTCATCCTCTTTTCCAGAACTGTGTAAAAGCTCATTCTGTGCTCATATTTGCGATGGCTTCAGTTCTTGCTCAGTTGGGCAGAAAATGCTTCTCAGATTTCGTTCCATGCGCTTTTTGAGGGCTAAGGAAGAATTAGAAGAATTGAACATTTACCCTCATTATTGCGCCATTTTGATAACAAATATCGATTGACTGCAATGTTTACTCTTTGTATTTACTTATTTGTGAGAATGGTTTACTGTTTAATTTATTCCGATATCTCTTAAGCAAATTGCTAACTCTATAAATAGGGTAGCAGTCTCAAATTATGCAATGACGCTATTAACAACGGTTGATGATAAGGTTTCGATTCAGTCGTTTTGCAACTCTCTAATTAAGTAAGAGAAATGTGTGATTGAGCAGAACGGGCAGAGTGGTCGTCGTTAGATAACACCTTGAAACTTTTAATTACTTTTGATTACTTTTCAATTACTTTTTGACTTACTTTGAATTCCACCTTCACCTTCACCTTCAAACTTTACGACTTTAAGGTAAGATCGAAGGCACCGTCCACCCAAACTGGTTTTTCGAGATTTTGATATTACTTTGATACCACATTATAGCGAGGCTCGTAACTAAGTCCGCCAAAATTCTGGCTGCAAAACGTGGATTCCGAAGCGAGAAAATTGCTCCAGAAGGTAGGAGCGGCCGGCCAGGGTAATCGCCTTCAGACCACCCATTAACGTGGGTGGTCTGAAGACGAAAGTCCAAATTTGGGCGTCAGGATACATAGAAGTGTCGAAAATGTATTAATCACAACGAAGAGCGGATTTATGACAATCCTAGACACATTAGAGCCCAATTTTGGACTTGTTATCTTCAGGACCACCCACATTGAGGGGCGGTCCCGCCTTGGCCGCTTCTACTTTCTGAAGCAATCGTCTGGCTTCGGAATTCACCTTTTCGAACCGAACTTGACCGATTACTTATTAAGGGCCCCACTACTTTGAAACATTGACCTCACTATTCCTCAGTAGGTGAACAGTGTTTCTAACATACCACCATAGGACCTCATTCCGATCAAAGTCTGGTCAACTGACACAGGTCGTAATGTGTAGAGAAGCGTGATTTTGGCAGATGCGCTTGGGTCAGTATATTGATGATATGACGATTTTTACCCGAATTCCTAAAGCATAAAAACCATAATTTGCTTATCCTGCTTGGAATTACATGTAGCGCGCATATGTGTTGTTTCTTTTTCGATGACCAATATTACACTACATTTCTGAATCCTACAAAAAATTAATTTTTTTGGAAATGAATTTTTCAATAAAAGCCAGATGTTCTCGCAAATTTTGGCGGAGTTTCAGTATGTTTAAAGTACGAAAAGTTTCGGGAGGGCTTAACTGAAAATCGGTAGTTGAGATATCGTGCTATATTCTTTTTTTAATTAATTCTCACAGCTTTGTACAAATGTTTGCTAAAAGTCTGAATTATAAACATCAAAAGCTACGACTTAATGTTACAGCCTTTCTCTTGGGATAATCTCCAAAACGCACAAATGGACGATATTGCAGACAGTTGGGCGCCTTTCTGGCGCTCTTCATCTCTCTCGCTGTCTGCTGTCTCTTGTAAGCGAACTCTCTGTAAAAAAAACATCAGCCTTTAGTCCAAAATTAAAAAGACTGTACTATTTGATTTACGGCGAATTAACTAGAAATGAACCAAGCTGGTTATATTAGGTGGATCCGAAAGTTCGTGCCGTTTTCTAGACCTATCCTTGAATCATTCAGAATAAAGATAAACAAACATTATAAGAAGTTTTCTCTGCAAGATTTCTTCCTCTTTCCAGCAGTAATCTTTTTGTTCGTATTCCTTTGATATTAGCTTGAAAAATCGTCAGAATCTTAAATCCATGTTTTTGACCTACCTTACTTTGCAGTTTTTCATAGATTTTCGTTCTGAACTTCTGGAGGTGCTTTGATAACAGTAAGATGGTGTTGCGGCTCCTAGGGGCTTAGCGCCTTTCTCCGCTCGCCATATACAGCCCGATCCAGCGTTTCCAGCGTTCCTAGGATGTTGTAGACGACCATGCAAACTGGGCTCTTATCTGCGCGACCGTGTCGCGATTACCCCTACCCGCATACTCAATATGACGCGACTAGAACGCAAGAGATCCTACACAAACAGTACATCACATAAGTCTATTTAAAATAACACAAAGAAAACTAAAGCTAAACATAATACTAGGACTACAAAAGTACTAAACTACAACGCGGGGCGAGCCGCGATTCCCCGCGCCACCGATGGGCCTCTAACTCACTTACACTCTCTCACTAGCACACTCTCACACTCTCCCAGCTTCCAAGGGAGTACCCACAGGCCGGCCGCGCGCCGCCAAGGCAGCAGCTACGGCACGGCAACACCGACCCCGTGATGTTAACCAACAGCATCAAACCAAGCTCCCAACAAGTCCTGCGCGTCCAAGGCGCTCTATGATGTTCGTCGTCCTAGAGTTCTATCCTTGCGCGTCCATCCAAGGAATCCATCGACGATCCATACTATCGCGCAAGGCACGGGGACGTAGACACGACGGCGATATCGTGGACCCAACCAATCAATAATACGAGCGGCACGACGATA